CCTTTCTTGTTTTTTTTTTTTTTTTGCACAGATAGTAATTAGTGAAATTGCTCACTAACTTATTAAAGGAATACCTCAAAAAAATTTCTCTGTCAAATAAGTTGCAGACAAGAAACTAATTAATAAGTCATATGAAGGAATATTTGCAAATTTGACGGTAACAAACAGAAGTAACTCATTCTTTTTCAAGAAAAAAATAGCAAAGTCTTTTCTAATTTTTCTTGAATCATTTCTTCCTTTTACGTCAGGTTTAGTTCATCTTTTGAGTCCCAGTCAGTCACTTATATTTGTTATGCTCATTGTTCCTTTTAGACCTAGTCATTAGGGCACATGAGAGCATTTAACGTGTTCATGGTTGGGTTTTTTTATTTATTTATTTAAATCGGAATTAAACTCATTAGGCAAAATACATATGTGACAACCCAAAATCCTACCAAAGATCGTGATGACACCTAACCCGCTTGCTAAGCAAGCCAATACTCGGTCAACAATAATATAAGCAGATTATTAAGCCATTTATTGGTTCATAATATAAATAACAATGCAAAAAAAATGTCAATTCAATAACATAAGTAAAAAAAATTGATGACAAGTTCTATATACGGCCACAACTATCCAACAAAAGGCCAAAATCCGATGTCACTGCATCACAAGCATCTAATAAGAGTAACTAATATCAACGGGACAAAGCATTTGTTCAAAAAAGAATACATAGACATGAATAGATAAGTAGGGAATGGGGACTCCAAGTGTTGCGAATCAGATTAAGTATAGCAGCTCACCACGAGGTCTCCAACAAAGTACTCCTACTCAACTCAATAGTACCACTAATACCAGTCTCAGAATCTGCACAAAAATATGCAGACAGTGTAGTATGAGTATAAAATCACTGTACTTAGTAAGTACAAATCTAGCATTGAAGAAGTAATGTCGAGAGGTTGACACTGACACTCGCTAGCAGTGTGAAAAGCAAGTAAAAGCATAAGGTAAAGCTGTAGATAAAACATGATATCATCAAATGGATACAAAGGCAGAGGCACAATAATATATGCTATTTAGACATGCTTTTCAAGGAAAAGAAGCACAATACAGGTCAATATCTCAATTATTTTAGTGAGGATTTGTTTAAGTGATCACAAGTTATGTGGGTAATTGTTTTGACTGTTTAGAAATCAAAACTGAGAGAAAATTTCTGCCCCTCTATGAAATGCTTGAAAATTTGGAAGCAATTGATTAACTTAGGAAAAGGATATTGATTTTTGATTAAGAACAACATCATCAGAAACTACTATATGTACTATTTCAAAGTCATTTGTGAGACATTTGGATGGTCATAAGCTTTTACCATCTTTGATGATGACCCTCCCTGGCACAAGAGCTACTTGAGGTCTACGAGATCCTCGTGAACTCTGAAGTGTTAGGGTGTTTTAAGGGAAATCCTTTGGCATTACAAATTCTGGCCAAAGTTCAGGGGTTGGATTCTTGTTAATATTTTGAGAAAAGTCATTTACAAGCAGTTATTTGATTCATCTTTAATTCCTTAAACAACTCCACTGTGCATTACAATTCAACCTTCACTTTATAATTTTAGAATGAATAGATAGATACTAATCTTTGTTCTCATTATGTTTTGCATGGAATCGTCCTGGGCCTGCTGAGTTCATTTAGAACTCTGGCCCAATCCAAATGACTAGGCTGCTGCCGCTACATTGTCTTGTGTCGGGAGAAGTGCACGGTTGGCCACTAATAACACATGTATTTACTTTTAAGCCACCGTTTAAAATGTCTTTAGTCTTTAGCCAGTGCTTTAATAAACTTTAACTGCCCGGACGAAAATACCCTTTTGCTCATGTCCTTAACTTCAGGACTTCAGGACTACATGTCCTTAACTTTTGAACTTGGAACTCTAAGTTCAGGACTTCAGGACTACATGTCCTTAACTTTTGAACTTGGAACTCTAAGTTCAGGACTTCAGGACTACATGTCCTTAACTTTTGAACTTGTAACTTCTTGGAACTCTAAGTTTAGGACTTCAAGGCTACATGTCCTTAACTTTTGAACTTGGAACTCAAACTTCAAGACCAAGCGCCCTTAACTTTTGAACTTGTAACTGTAAGTTAAGGACTGCTTGTCCTTAACTTTTGAATGTGTAACTATAAGTTAAGGACTGTCTGTCCTTAACTTTTGAACTTGTAACTGTAAGTTAAGGACTGTCTGTCCTTAACGTTAGAACGTGTAACTGTAAGTTAAGGACTGTCTGTCCTTAACTTTTGAACTTGTGTCCTTAACTATTGAACTTAACTTTAGATTTCAAGACTACATTTCCTTAACTTTTGAACTTGAAACTCTAAGTTCAGGACCATGTCCTTAACTTTTGAATTTAACTTTAGGACTTCAGGACTACATGTCCTTAACTTTTGGGAAGGAATCGCATTTCCTGTTTACTCATCACTTTTTTTTCTTACTTTCACAACGTCATATCTTAATCTTTTTTTAAAATCTGGAACCTCTCCCCATTCTCCTTTTGTTTTTGTAATCGTTCCCTTATGTTCTTCATGCTTGTTTAGTTTATCAACAAGAACTATAACCAAAGATATTTTCAGTAGCATTAATAGAAGTTCGTACCATTTGGTGCTCTCGTTGACCTTCCTTACCAATGAGTGAAAGTGAGGTTCCGAATACACGATTGCGCACCTTATATGCGGAAATGAGACAGTATAGATACACTGCATTTCCGTTTGGGAAAAGAGATATAAGAAAGGGTAACACAGTCTTTTCATATTAATTTAATAGACTAGTGGCTACTATTGCTAAACATTAAAAATATTGGATAACAAGTAAATACCAGCTTAAACAATGGCTACCCACGCCATTTCTACTCTTGTGTCGCTATTGGGCTCATCCGCCGTCTCTCTTCGGACGACTGTCCCATTTACAATTGGGCTAGCCAGCCCAATTAAAAATAGTTTACTCATGTTCTTGCATTCCGTCTATCTCCTCATATAATTAGGTTTATCGTACTAACAATGGCTAACGTTTCTTATTTTATTATGTGTGTGTGTTTTGATTTTGTACAATTAAGTAGGTGCTAAGACTCAGTTGAATCAGCTAGTATAACACCTGCTTTAGGATGCAATTTCGTAACCCATATTTAATAAATTAAAATTGAAATTTTAGATTTCGCTTATAATGTCGAAACAACGCTTTATTGTATGGACTTGCTTGAACTAATTCTTTATAAAATATCATTTGTACAATGAAACCTGAATGCAAAGTGCAAATCGATTTTTTCCCCGAAAATTCACAATGGATAAAACACGAGATGAGTCTCCTTAGCCCAATCGATTTCAGCAAGCAAACAAAGAAATTGGACTTTTCAAGATATTGTGCTTTTGTTCCATTGCTATCCCGTTTGAAAATTTACAAAGAAGGAACACCCCCTTTCTCAACAAAAAAAAATGTTGATTTTGACTCAAAACACTTAACCCATCTCAGCCCTCACCAAAAATGGCCCTATTTTAAATTTTTGAGAGACTAGCTTCAAGTCAATATTTTCAAAGCCGAAAATAATTGAGATATTTATAGAGAAATTTTCATAAAGCATTATCTTTTAGTGGTAATTAGCTATCTATAGATAGTATTTACTATATTACGGATTGTAGATACATTTTCTGTTATTATAAGATGTATTAGATGTATTTAAGCTATTGTATTAATAAATACAGTAGCAAAAATAGGCGTGAATCAGGGAAGTCCAGCTAATCAGTTGTTGTATTCAAGTGTATTCGACTGTATTCATGGCGTGAAACATGAGATTACAGCTGGACAGATTATTATATTCGACTGTATTCATGGCGTAAAACAGGGGATTACACTGTTTTTAAACGGAAAGTGAATCAATTAACATAATAGACTCCTAATATAACTCAACAAACTCAATTATAACACACAAATTTTGTATTTTCTTGTATAAAAAAAGATTCTCAACCGAAAAATACCTCAAAAATATAGCAATCTTCATAGAAATTATGTAATACATCTGAATATATAAATTATATTAATTAAAAAAATATATGAATACATTCATGGCATATAGCGAGACAGTGAATACAATGAAATACATAGAATACAACGGATACATTGAAATACAATGAAAAAAAAAGACAGTGAATACTATGAAATACATGGAATAATAGGATTAGTAAGGTAAGGTTTAGCCCGGTTTG